TATATATATATATATATATATATATATATATATATATATATATATATATATATATATATATATATATATATATATATATATATATATACATCACTTGAAAATATATATATATATCTAGTAGGTGTATAAGCAATCACATATCACATATAAGCAATTATACCAGATGATCACGGATCGTAACCTAATGTGATCAGGCTCGAGCCAATAGGCCCAATCACTTGCATCACGAGTTGTGTGCATCGGTGCATCTCCATGCCCTATGATTGTGCATATCGTCCTCATCGGTTCTATCGATATCTTGGTGCATCTCCATGCACCGCGATCGTCCGTCTCGGCCTCGTGGGTCCTATTGTCAGCTCCACGCTCCCCCGCGTCTCCTCGTGTAATTACAATATAATCACAAGCATGTAGACCCGATAATAAATGAGAAAATAAAAAGGAGGCTCATAGGCCCCAATAATAACAATAATCATATCACATACACACATACATCACATCATATGATCCATCTTGGCCTCTTAGGGAACCCTACACTTGGGTGTCCCATGCGGCCAAGAAACCCTAATTGCTAGGGTTACTTGCAGCCAGGAATCCCTGGCCATAGGATAGCCTTGGGCATCCAGAAAACACTAGCCCCCAAGGTCCCCTTTGCAGCTAGGAAACACTGGCTGTAAGGTGTCCATGGGCGGCCAGGAAACCCTGGCCGCCTACTTGCTCCATGTGGCTAGGAGTCCCTTGTTGTAGGGTCACCTAGGCGGTTAGGAAACCCTAACCGTTAGGGTTCCCTATGTAGCTAAGACTCCTAGCTGCATGGGAGACCTCTGCCATGGCCAAGAGCTTGTTACTCTCAGCTAGACAGCCTTTGGCCAGGCCAAGAGCAACAAGTTATGCTTTCGACCAAGGTTGCTTGTAGCCTTCGACCAATCTATAGGGTAGCAATAGTTGCTACCCTTTCTCCCTCTTTTGCGTCAACAATTTTGACATCAAAAGGCTTTTATGAAACAACTCTCAACAGTGAGAAATAGTGATATCCAGATCTAAAAACTACAATAAAAATAATCACAGCAACAATGTATAAAACTATTCTACGCGATTCTGATAGCACTGTTGAGAAATTTGATCAGAGCATCGCATGCATAGTGAAAGAACATAAAACAAAAATCTAGATTTTCCAAAAAAAGATATCTTATTGTCGTGCAATGATTAGTATGCAAAAATCGTAAAACCAAAAACCACACGTATCTTGTGAGATGTGTTACCTAGGGAGATTGTATATCCCTGAAAAATCTCATATTAATAGGAGAGAATGAAAGAGGTTAACTATCCTCTTTAGTAATGATCCACATGGTATATAGGGCGACGACGCTCTTCAAATCGCAACACAATCTTCCTCTCCACTGTACCATAAGATTGTACCGTGATTAAGAAGGGGCCGACCCTTTTTATTATCCACAAGCCCCAAATTAGAACCATCGACTGAATGGGAGAGGAGAATAGGAGGGGCAATCAAGAGGAGACTAGCCTATGCCACCTTTTGGCCTCTCCTATTTATAGAGGTTCCTACAATTTAATCATAATGGATTTTGCCCTATTGAGTATTAGATCTTTATCTAATTACTTAAATATCTTAGATTAGTGGATCTGTGTCCAATAATCTCTTAGTGGATCTCACTCAAAATCTTCAATAATTCAAAAATTTATTGGATATGTAATAAGATCACACCTTTTAAAATAGGTTTAGTTTTCAAAAGTTTGCAGCAGCACATCACAAGTAAAATTACCAAACGAATGAAATAAGAGTAAAAAAAAATCTAACACGGAATGTAATTCTATTGTCAGCAGAGACGTATCCAACACTCCAAGCTAAAGAAGCAGCAGTTGTTGCAGCTCCATAGGGTCTACATTACAAATCTCTATTGCGAATTGCAATAAACATGACAATTCTAACATTAGTTCAAGTATAAAATACATTATCGATAGGTAAGAAATTTTATATATTGATAATTATTGCAGTATTAATATCATGAATATTATATATTAAAATATCTTATGAGATATCCGTAGATGCACTTAACGTCTTATTTGAGTTTTTAATCTCTGAGAAGGTGACGCTAAGAGCCAGTCACTCAGAGCCAGTGACTCCGATCATCGGAGTTTTTATTTTCTATCCCGACAAACAACACAGTCTCATCGGAGATCCCTCCATCGATGCTGTCACTTTCCTCTGCTCTTTCCTGTAGTTGGAGGGCAAGCTCAAGGTTCCGAACCACATCAACCATGGAAGGTCGTTCCTTCCCAGTATCAGCCAAACATTTCACTGCAGTCTGTACAAACCACTTGAAACTCAGTGGAGCAATCTTACCCTTCAAGTAGGGATCAATGATCATGTCGAGCATGCCATTCTTTTGGCAGTGCAGTGCCCACTCCGACAAGCTCACCTTTTCATCTGAAAGCATGGGGTTAAGAGCTGGCCGAGCACACAGGACCTCAAACAGCACGACCCCAAAAGAGAAGACATCAGATTTCTCTGTGAGCTGCATCATTCGAAAGTACTCTGGATCGAAGTAACCAAAGCTTCCCTTCACCATCGTGGTGACATGGGACTTGTCGGCGGGCGGACCAATCTTCGAGAGCCCGAAATCTGAAACTTTTGCAACCCTTTTGTCATCTAACAGTATGTTTGTTGCCTTCACATCTCGATGTATGATGGTACGCTTGGCACCTGTGTGAAGGTAATGCAGACCAAGTGCAGCCCCGATGCAGATCTCAAGCCGCTGTTTCCATGGAAGAGGCGGCTTCTGTGTCCTGCAAAGATGCTCGCGGAGGGTCCCCTGGGCCATGTAATCGTAGACTAGGATCATCTCACAGTTCTCCTCACAGTAACCGATCAAAGAGACAAGGTGGTTGTGTCGGAGCTTGGAAAGCATCTCAATCTCAGTCCGGAATTGATGGACACCTTGCTCGGACATCGGGTTAGCACGCTTGATGGCTACCTTTGTGATCCCACCATCTATCTCCCCACGGTAGACCTTTCCGAACCCACCAATTCCAAGAAGAAGGGACTCATCGAAGTCATTTGTGGCAGCTTTTATCTCTGCAATGGAGAAGTAGCGGCAGCGGTTGGACTGAGCCGACGCAGCGGAACATGTGTTGCCATAGAGGGAGAGATGCGACAAACCATAAGGCCCATTGCTTGTAGCTGCACCCTTCCCTTCCTTCATCATCTTCTTCTTCTGGCATTTGCACATTCCAATCAGGCAAAAACCAGCGAGTAAAACAGCAAAACCTCCGACCACGCCACCAACAATAACAGGAACTTCACTCTTATGTTTCGCACTCCCCTTCCTGAGATCTCCAGGATCAACGTAGAGCGGCGAGCGTGCTCCTGGATTAAGACCAGCCAGGCTGTTATTACTGTTCTGCAGCTTGAACACCTCAAGCCCATTCAAGATGGCATCATAATACTCTGGGTTGGCGAGTGTATATGGATGAAGCTCAACCCACAGATCCATCTGCCCTCTTCCCATTGTCATCACCACATAGTCCCTGTACACAGGGATACCGATCCCGCCACTCCAACCAATGACATCAGCTTCTTTTGTTGCAGTCTGGTTATTAAGGTAGATGTCAAAGACTCTCTGGTTTATCTTCACCATCGGATACTGGATTTCACAGAAATGTAGCCGGACAAGGTAATAGAAGCCAGCATCCACTGGGAGAATCCAGGTTAAATTGTAGTTCAAGTTCACCCGTGCATTTGGACCCATTGATCTTGCGGTGGAGTAGACATCCGGTGGTGCAATGTAACTTGGAACACTGGTCGGGTATGTGATGGTAACATTCGGATCATTGGAGTAGGACACACCAAATGCAGCCCCATAAATGTAAGGCGAGTCGTCGTCCCAAGAGCGGAACAAGCCGGAGTCTTCGATGGGGGGAATTGCTTGCCCTCCCACATTGAGCCGGTAAACCGTCTCCAGAGCTTGGTCGGGATCGATAGTGTAAACAATATGACCATCATCTCCATCGACAAGCAAAGGTGTTGCTGAGCTAAACAAGTCAGGGATTGATAGAATCTCGATACCGTTAATGAAAGCATAGGAGTTGGGATGGGTGGTCGATGGGGTGAAAGTGAGGTTTAGGCCGCCGGTGGAGACGTTTACGC